GAGAAAAAAAAAATAAAAAAGATACAACACAACCAATATAACCACGCGTATAAAAATTGTTCACTCGATCTGAGCCTCTTTTCTTAAATTGTTCGTTCCGCATGCTCATATTGAAAATGTAAGTATTTGTTACTACTTGCGATAAATATCTGTCGTTTCTGGGCCGTCTCGAATCAACGGACATGCAACGAGTTACACTCTCTCCATACCTCGAGGGCCCTTTTTAGCCTAATTGAAACGGGGCACCTATTTTGCAGTGTGTGTTCCTGGGCTAGCCAGCTTAGACGACTTCACATTCTATTGTCAATAAGCAGAACTTGTGCATTGTATAACGTTTAGCGATGCAAGCGTCGGGGGAAACCCTTTTCCGGACCTGAGAAAATACGGTTTGCACAGGTAATGGAGAGAAGGGAATAGCTCACCGAACAGGGCTCAAGTTTTGTTGCTGCTGTTTGTCGCAGTGAGCGCCTGTGCATCACACGGCCAGATGACTTTGGGAATAGTTGATGGCTTGGTCGAAATATGGAAGTGTGTGAACGCAAGGTGTTTGTATGACTTGACCGCCGTGCAACTCTCTCAGCCGCAATACTCGATGCGCAACTTTTCTAGAATCAAACAATTTTCCCCCGTCCTCTCATCCCATACTAATAATCCTCTCACCACTCCTTTCTCATCTCATTTTTCTTATGGATACATAGAGATAGAGGCCAATGACGTCGTCGGTGACGAGCAACAGCCTGGACGACATGTGTGCGGGTATCCGTTGCGTGCGATACAATTTTGTAAGGTGTATGCCATACTGAAAAGGATTGTCGGTATTAATAAATGGTGAATTAAAAAGTTTCACAGAATAAATTTGTCAACTTTTCTTTGTCCACATTTATTGTATTAAAATCGTTTCTTCTCTTCTCTGCTGTATCACAATACTTTGTACAGATTTTAGTTATTTCTTTAATTAAACACGCTTTCTATAAATATATATATATATTTAAACCTAAAGAAGCTCTCCCTAAAAGTCTTTGGAATAACAATCAGTTCTGTCGACTATATCTATCGATTAAATATCATAAATACAAGGTACATCCTAAATTTACACATCTACAACGAATGTACAATTATTATCATTATCATTATTTCAACAAAAAGCGTTGTGTCTCTCTGAAAAAACAAAAATATAATATCCGAGATCAAATGTTTCTTCAAGCATTATTAACAAAACGAATTCATTATAAACTTCCAATATATTCGTATCGTTTCAAGATGGTAAAAAAATAAATAAAGAAGATAATAGAAACTGCAAAGAGAAATACATTGGTTCCGATACAGTTTACAAACCAAACTGGTGAATGGCGTAGAGACTAGAACATGGAATCCCTGTTTCCCCTGCGGTATGCCCCCAGCATCGCTGCAAACAGCAACTCCCTCCGCCCGTCCCATTGCCATCTCAAACGGTGAGACTGCAAGTAAAAAACAGCCAGATATACACCAGGATAGTGATGATGCGACTTCTAATCCCTCGGTACCAACGCGGTACCGATTACAAGGCGCGGCCTTCTAGACGCCGTTTAATCGCAACGTTGCAATATTTCCCATCGACACGGTTGCCAGACGACGACGACGTCTTCTTTCAAAACTGGATCCACAAAGACACGCTATCCTAGGTTTTCCAGACCAGGACGCGGTCCAATTTCGTTCCTTTCTTCATCGCTGGAGCGGGACCTTAATCTCACCCAATTTCGACATGAACGAGTCCAGGCTGCTCAATTCCGGGCACAGAGGACCTCGCCACGGATCGTCCTCTTGACAGGAACGTTGGTTTTTCATGTCCTCGCCGTTATAGAAGTCGCAGCTCGAGTACTCGGCCTCTTTCAGCAGCTGCTTTTTCAACTGCTGCCACTTCGAGATCCTTGACAATTGCTTGCTGCGCAGCTCGTGCTCGGCCTTGAACAGCGCGCAAGTGAGCACCGCCTCGACGCGTAGGTCACGTTTCCGATTTCGACGGCACATCAGCTTCTTGCAACGTACTCTACTGATCCAATTCGCTAATTGCTCCGTGTGGCTGGGTTTGTCAACGTCGATCTCTCGGGGTCTCGCGCTGGCCACCATCTTGGATTAGTTCTCTTGTTGCGCGCGCAGCGTCGGGTCCCTCATGAATCTTCTTTTCGCGTGCAGGTAACGAGGAACCGTCCGGCAATCTTTTTACTTTACTTTACTTTACTTTACTTTTTCTTCGTTTTCTCGAAAAACGATGGGGAATATACAAAGCGAACACGCTCTCTCACGTTCTTAAAACTTTCTCACCTAATTTACTGAATAAGTAAGAAGAACACCAACCTGTATCTGGCTCGTGTTTCTCGCGTCGAACGACGGAAGGGAAATCCCGTGGGCAAACTCGAAAAACACTTTGAACCAGCGAGCGAGATACAGCCTTCACCGCTCGATGATGACTCAGGAAATGCCAGGGCTACGCCCGTTGGAGGGGCCTTTATATATCCCCGAGCTCGCTGCTAAGTGGTGTACCTGCGCGCGATCGATAACAAATAGTCCCCGACTAAATTAATTATTAACGGTATTTCTCGATGGTATTTTGAAAATATTTTCACTCGATCGATCTGCCGTCGCGCGTGGAATATTTTCAATGTGAAAATGCCTGTACATTCGTCGGGATTTTTCGATATTCTTCGATTTCGGAAACCAGTTACGGCGTAGGAATGCGTTGCGCGGTCAACTACGCCACCAATCGTGCGTCCTTTTTCATGAACGTCACATGCTTTTCCATTGCGGATACTGTACAGCGTTGCCAAGTTTCTTAGCGTCGTTACGATCAATGATGTATCCTTCAGCGTTTCTATAACATTTTCGGTTTTTCCAGATCTTTTATGCTTTATTGTGTATTCCCATCGTAGATATTAATGCATTTTATGGAAGAGAAAATTGGAATGTTGTATATTCTGAATGTAGATTGAAGCTGAAGACTTCTATCGCGATGCTAGACGCTTCTGTTGTATTTAAATAATGCAGTTGAAATATTTGTATTTGTAAGGTAAACAGAACTTGTTTGAACACGTTTCCGATTAAATTTCCGTCTTACTGAAACTTTCAGGTATACGCAGTAAATATTGAGTATATATTTTGGAATAGAATCGGAAATCTAAGAATGCGTATATGTTTCTGTCGACTAGAAAAACTATTAATTTAAATAAAATCATCGATACTCTTGTGGGTACTAGGATTGTATAAAAAAGAAATCATTATGGTACGGTAAATGTAAATATACAATGTAAAATTTCTAGGATTACATATAAATGAGAAAACATGGCAACGCTGGGAAAAGTAACTGTGTATACCCTCAACAAATGTGTCAGGAAGGACGCTTTCATTTCTGTAGATTATTTTCTTTCTATAAAAAAAGAATTGTTTTTATTGAACGCCTTGAGGTGTTTAAATTAATGTAGGATTGGATAAAAATTGTATCTGTTGAGAGTACTATATAATTTATAAATTAAAATACAATATGAGTAAGACGCGTAGTATGTTTTTACGAAAATTTTCTCTTTATTTCTCATCATTTTATTAATATTACAGGTCATATTATGTTGTAAGCTTACGAGGCATTTATATTTAGTTTTATTTTATAATGACTTAACAAAACGGGAATGAACTGCATGACTCACGAATGACGATAATGCATTTCGAGCTTATTCATTCAGAATTCTTAGAAAAGATATTTCCGTCGGTGTTTCCTTTGTTTTAACTCCATTCTTATAGTCATTATGATCCTTAAATACTAAAAAACAATTATTTTATTTAACAACTATATAAAAAAAAATACAATTTGTACATTGCATTATTACATAAATTGCATATAATTTGTTTGCTAAATTTAATAGGTGTCGAAATATATATTGATTTATTTAGTCTACACCCATACAATACATATAATCTTTATTATTTCAATAAATAAATGACTATAGACAAATTACATGCAACATAGCTATGTACATAATATATTATGTATATATACATACATAATGCATATCATAAAAATTTGACTATTACTATTGTACAATAAATTTACACATCCAACAAAGATGGTATTACTATGTTTGTACATTTTTAGGTAAATGTATCACTCTTGAGCACATTTAGTACAAAAAATTTGTATATATTCCATGAACACATTTTATTATATTATTTAAATAATGGCATGTATAATTTAAATGAAAATATATTTGTTCTAAAATAAGATCTTTGCTAAAAAGCGTAATAGTTGTTATTCATAAATGAATCTATGGATTCTTTTATATTAAAATTTAGTGCTCCTAAATATAAATAATATAATGATAGTTTAAATAACGACCATTGCTTTGCCACAGAAAGTTTCCACTTTATCCATGTATTCTTGCATGATTTCAGTTGTTCTCCATAAACAGATTGTATGCAACATTTCGACATTTCCATCATTCCAAACATTCTAGATTCTGTGTGCAAGGAATGTTCAATACAGCGTACAAGATCATTTGTTTTAAGAATTAATAACATTTGCCTATTCACTCTTTGAAGTACATCGCTAATTTCTGGTAACAAATTTGGTATTTCACTTTGGAATTCTTGCTTTTCATGAATATCATATTTAGTTCTCTGTATGCCAGTCATAATTGCCTTCCAAGATCTACCTGATACCATACAAGCCAGCAACCCATACAAATCTGGAACACCCAATTTAGCACAATGCACTTGCATTGCATTTCTGTTGCTATCAAATATTGCTAACCACAATTTAGAATATTCCCATCGAAATTCATTAGAAAGATCTGCATACAATCCATGATCCAAAAGAATTATTTCTGCTTCATTATTTTTCTTTCGAAGTAATATATTACCAGGATGAGGATCAGAATGCACAAAACCAGAAATAAATATCATATGACTATACAGTCGACCCAGTTTACTGCTGACTTCGTATGGATTTAAGTTATTGTCTTGAATGTATTTCAAATCATTGACCTGACCTCCCTCAACAAATTCCATTGTCAGAACACGATGCGATGAAATATCCCAATAGATTTTTGGTATTTTTAACCAATGATAATGTGAAAATATACTTTGAACTTTCTCTGCATTTTTTCCTTCTTGCATGAAATCTAATTCTTTTGGAATATTCTTTTTAGTTTCATCAACAAGCCAATCAAATTTAAAGTCAGGAAAGACTAATGATGTTATCTTTACTAAAGCTGACATACTCTTTATGTCTACATAAGAATTTGTTTTAACAGACCGATGTTGTATTTTAACAGCAACAACATTGCCATTTTTTAATACAGCTTTATGGACTTGTGCTAAACTAGCGGTTCCTAAAGGTTTAGGGTCAATACTTTCAAATATTTCGTATGGATCTTTCTTAAAATCTTCTTTAATCACAGTTAATACGTCTTTGAAAGATGATTGTGGTGCAGAACTATGCAATACCCGCATAGTGGTAACATATTCTGATGGTAATAGATAATCCAATGCCCCAATATGTTGGCCCACTTTTATATAAACACCTTTATTTTCACAGCAGAGTTCTAAAAGTTTCTCTGCTCCATATTTGTGTACTCTTGATTTTAAATTCTGATATTCCGGAGTATCTTTATCTAATTTACTTCCATATAATTCATTCTGATAATGCCTGCCTATTATAAAAACAGTAGTTGCAGCACGCCCAAGTCTTACAATGCCTATAGATCCTAAATCATATTCATTAGCTCTTAGAGATGCGAATGTACGAAAACCAATTATTCCAACTATAGCTGTTTTTAATAATCTTTTGTACTTGAACATTGTCAGTTAATTGTATATAAAATAAACAGTCTATGATTTGTATAATGAGCCTGAAATTAAACTTTATTTGAATTATTTGTAAAAATATTAAGTTATGGATGTCAATTGAATACAATCTGTCATCAAATAAACTTACCCTGAAAATATAGCTGAAATTCTTGTTTTCTTAATAACCTGTTCTTACACAACATAAAGTTAGTTAAAAACAAAAAGTTATGTAATACACTTGAGTTTTCTGATTGAAAAATTGTTCATAAACGTCAAAGGTCATGTAATAACCTAAACTATTTATATGACGAAAGTAGAGCGAAATTCTGTATTGATAATTATTTCTTATAAAATGATTTGCTTGTTCGGTTTTTCCTCTAAAAATTTCCAAATTGTTTTATCGCTTGATTTCTTATATACCAGTTTCTTTTGAAAAAGTAACATGATAACCTGTATTCACTCATGTACTGTTATTCGTTCTACACGTGGTATGCTTACAAATTTGCATAAAACACGTGTGGTTTTCCTTTACAGTCTGAATTTTGTTATTGTGACATTCCATATAACATGTTAAATACTAAGCAAATATATTATATATTTTTAAAATTCGTTGTTTTTTATCGAAAGGTTAAAACATTTAACACAATATTAAGTCTATTGAATTTTATGTACAATTTTGTTGTAAAGGTGTAAATACTTAAAATTAAAAATGTACAAAAAACCTTGAAAAAAGCATATTTCTTTTATTTATCAGATGAAATAAAATGCAGAATTTTCAATAAAATGATAAAACCGGTCATTTGAGCGGTACATTTAGTGTTAAGTAACTGAATTATGGATCATAAATAATCATTAACAAAGTATTTATTATAAAAACAGCATATATTACAAAGTTATACTTTACATCGATTTTAGATTCACTGTCATCAACTTCACATCATTGACTCTACTTTAACCAGATGCATGTTCCATTATGGCTCTCTGAAATAAATTATACAGAAGCAATAAATATACAATGAAAGATATTATCCAGTTTTGATTCGTATTCATTACTTGTCCTTTACTTTTAACAATGGAACAGCATTCGTCAATTGTAACCCTAAACTTCTGGCGAGGACAACAGGAGCCGCTGTTCCTTTGTACAAGCGATGTAACGCGTCAATAGCAAGCATTGTTGGAACATTGTATCGTTGTCGTAATGTTTCATACTTTCTCAGATACAATATATCACCTAAATATGCTCCGTTTATAGCAGCCTCCGCAAGAAGTTGAACTAATACTGTTATATCACCAAAACCCAAGTTAACACCTTGACCAGCTAATGGATGGACTCTATGTGCTGCATCCCTAAGAATTTTATTACACATAAATTCATGTGAACAGACATCTGTAGTTAACTTATAACATTACCAAAGTGTAAATCATGATGTTGCTTCTTCACTAACCCGACCAAGGCAGTTCCTGTCTGAACATATGATACTGAATGACCGAATTGTAAAGGAAAAGCTGCACGCGATCCTTCTACAATAGCTGATACTGACGGTTGCAATTGTCTTACAATACCCGTTTGTAACGATAAGCCTTCGAGTAATTGTTGAAGAGCTCGCATGCCACTTTCAACTATACCGTCTTTTGGATATATTTTCCATAAAGCACTGTTTATGCTATCAACAAATTCTTCTTTTGGAACTTTCAAAAGTCTCTTCGCTTCGTCCATTGGTAGCGACCATACGAGTGAACTAAGTGAGTCCGTTAACTATAATAAAAGTAAGAATCAATGTGACATTCAGTTACTTGTAACTAATTTATAAATAAAAATTTGTATGTGGTTTATAAAAATTACAGGAAGTAGCGCTATTGGACCTGTTGGAAGGAATCTCTGCCATGCAACAATATTCTCTGTTGGCTGAAATAGACATAGAATTATTATAAACTTAAAAAAAAGAATGATTTTTTACACTACAATAATTACCTCTGATAACTTGAGAGTAGCAACTACACCTAATTGATTATAATTCCAGTTTACATATTGTACACCCATGGATTGTCGTACCAGTGAATTTGAACCATCCGCTCCAATCTATAATGATTTAGAAGTGCAATATTTATTAAAAATTAATGGCAATTTAATAAGACATGATTGAATAAAGAATTAAAATCTTGTGCAACGATAATGGCAGTATTATGCCTGTAGGAAGGGGAAGAGTTAAGAGGGACTAGCAATATGTCTGGAAATAACTTCAGTTCTCTGTCAGACTTCAGTAGAAGTACTAATCGCATTTTAAACTACTTTATACTTGGCCTTGAAGAAATGCATTACTTTGTATACACTGTTCTAATATTATTATAAATATTTCGACTTTGTATTGATGCATATGTACATAATAACTATGTAATTTTATATTTATACAAACATGGTAATTTAAAATATTGTGTAAATACAATACATGAATTGTGCAACATACCATGTACACACATTGTTTATTATGGAGAAAAATTTAAGTGCAATTATTTCCTCAAAGGATGTTGTTATCAGATATATGAATAAGTGTGTCTTGGAAGTGAAAAACGTAATGTGCAGATAAATTGTATGCACCAATCTTTAATTTTAATAGCAGAAGAAATATCGTGTAGAAGAAATATTTTGTAACAAGGAATTTCCTTAGGCTCCATACTTGTAGTAAGAAGCAGTGCAAGCTAAATATATGCCAGTTCTGTTTTATAAACACCAAGGAACATGTGTGGTTTTCTTCTGAACTGTACAGTCAACTGAAATAGTGTTTAAGTATTTGAGTCTTGAGGCATGTAGTATACAATATGTGAATACTTTTACTTTTTATATTCTGGATAATGATAAATAACAAGATGATGTAACTGTTTGAGTTCTCAAATATCCTTTAAAAGATTCATAAGTGGAATGTCAATCCTAAAAAAGAAACCTCTTCTAAGTAAACTCTTAAACAACCGTATTTCCGAAAAAAATACAAATACAGCTAATGTAATGGAAACACCCTCTATTATTGTTAGTGACACTGTAAGTATAGAAAAAGCAATTAGACATTGTATAGAAAAACGTTCTTCATGTACACATAAATTTAGGAAGACTGTGAACACATTTGGATGAACGATATAGAAAATAACAGTATAAGTTCAGAAAACAGTTCTGACTCGGTCGCCTATCACATAAGAGAGAGGCAAATGACCAAAGAACAACCATGGAGTAAAGAGGAAATTATTTCAGCTCTTTCTAATCTACCAGCTGGAGAAAATGCACTTTCCGTTATTCCAACTCTATACGGTGATACATGGCGTAAAACTTTAAATGAATTTTTAAATGCTGATGGAAATAAAATGGTATTACATGCTAAGAATATTTCTACGTCTTCATACGAATATAGGTACAGTGCTTATTACATTTATGATTGTGACAATTATACTGCACCTAATTCTATTAAGTATTATGTTTAATGTAGACACATACAAAATCCATTATTAAATTTTGAACACGAAGCGCCCGGTAGTGTGACTGTTGCACGACTTTTAAAGAGATGGCCAAACACTTATCTTTTGGTTTCTTGCTTTCTGGGTCATATAGAGTTGGTAAAAGCTCTGTTAGACAAAAATGTAAAACCATCAACTAGAGACAGCGACGGCAGGTATAAAATTGCATAATAAAAAGATCAAATTTAAAGATAATGATGCATTCATTTTTAGGACACCGTTGCATTTAGCAGCCTGTGCGGCTTCAGTAAAAATTTTAGAAGAGTTATTGAAGCATGGTGCAAATCCATGTGAGTGGGATTTTAATAAAAAGTATACACCCCTGCATTGTGCTGCTGCCACTGGAGATGTCTATTGTGTTAAATGTTTAATAAAATCAGGAGCAGATGTAAATGCCGGATTATCTGGAAAAAGTCCTCTTTACTATGCTGTTTTAAGTAATGCAAGAGATTGTGTTGAAGTTTTATTACAAGCAGGTGCTTCTCCCAACAACCCTCAGGTATCTGTATTTGTGTACATATAAAATATTATATGAAATTTACATTTGAATAGTGTTTAATCGACATTGACTACACAGGTTTATACAGAAACACCCTTACATGTAGCAGTTAGTCTGGGTTCTGTTACATGTACAACATTACTGTTAAAATATGGAGCAGATGTGAGAGTCCAGTTTAGTTCTATGAAGTCAACACCGTTGCATTTAGCAGCGGAAGAAGGTAGTGCAGAATGCACAAAATTATTATTAGATGCTGGTGCTGTATGCGAAGTAAAAAATTCAAGAGGGCAAACACCACTGCACTTGGCAGCCTTATCTCAATCGGCAGAAACCTTAGATGTACTTATAAATGCTGGTGCAAATGTTAATATAGAAGATAACGACGGGCGCACTCCTTTGCATGCTGCTGTTGCAAAAGCTACTAGAGGAATAGAGTTGGTCAAGATTCTATTGCAGGTTAATTTACTGATTTAAAAAATTACATTGGGAATCTGTTATACGTTTGAAACTATATAAGTATATATACTTCTGTCTTAAAAGGCTGGTGCTTCGATCAACAAACCAGACAAATTTGGCTATACACCTTTACATATTGCTGCATTAAACGAAAGTTCATCAACAGTGATGATGCTATTATCGAAAGGAGCAGATGTTACTGCTAGAACGAGAGGTGGTATTTCTGCATTGAGTTTTATTGTACGCAGAACACCGGATGTGTTACCACGATTTATATCGCGTTTAGACCAAGCAATTTCTTTACACGACCACGAATTGGGAGATGTTGATTGCGAGTTAAGATTAGATTTTAGACCACTGGTACCAGGTGGTAGAGGGGAAATGGATTTAATGCTATGCCTTGCAGAAGTTGGACAAAGACATGTATTAAAACATCCATTGTGCGAAAGTTTTCTTTACTTAAAGTGGTTAAGGATTCGTAAATTTTTCTTATTAAGTTTGATATTTCATTCCATTTTTGTTGCCTTTTTTACCGCATATATTGCAGTTACATACTTTTGGAACATTGAGAAACTCAGAAAAATACTTTTCTGGCCAGTGTTGATATTTACCATAAGTCTTGCCTGTAAGGAGTTCTTTCAAATGGCTCATGGCTTATGGTCTTATATCAAGGGATGGGAAAATTGGCTTCAATGGAGCGTTGTTTTAGTATCAATTGTAGTAATAATTATGCCAATTTATAATTGGCAACATCATGTAGCAGCACTAGGCATACTACTAATTTGGATAGAGTTAATGATGGTAGTTGGAAGATTTCCAATGTTTGGTCTTTATATACAAATGTTTACACAAGTCTCAATTAACTTTTTTAAATTCCTTGGTGCTTATATGTGCCTTATAATCGGTTTCTCTTTAGGCTTTACTGTATTACATAAAAATTATAAATCTTTTGCCAATCCTTTGGTTGGTTTATTGAAAACTATCATAATGATGTCTGGAGAATTAGAATTTGAAGATGTATATTTTGATGAAAGTGCACCAGTATTATATTCAGGTACAGCACACTTAATGCTCCTAAGTTTTGTCATTTTAGTGACAGTAATTCTGACGAATTTAATGATGGGCCTAGCAGTATCAGATATACAAGAATTACGAAGATGTGCTGGATTAGATAGATTAGTACGCAGAGCAGAGTTAGTAGCACACTTGGAAGGTATGCTATTTTCTAAACTTTTGGATCATGCTCCAAGTAGAATTATGAAAATGTGTAGGCGGGGAGCGCTTCTTTTACGTCCACCGCATCACTGTGCGCTTCATATACGTCCAAATGATCCGCGTGAAAAACGTTTACCAAGGGAATTAATAAAGGCCACTTATCGTTTAGTAAGTGAAAGAAAAAATCGTAGTATAAATAGAAATACTTCTATGCGTAAGAGAGCAAATACAGAAACTAGTAGTTACAGATTAAGTAGACTCTACAGCACTGGTTCAGCCAGTGATAACAATCAACAATTAAATGAATTAGTTGCCGAATTAAAAAGATGTTCATATAGTATTAGCACACACTTGGACAACTTAACTAACAAAGTAGAAGGCGTTATTAGGGATTACAGTAACTGAGTAATATACGTGATACCTAATACATTATATTTTTTATGTACTTACCAATAACTTGGTTTTGTATTTTTTTCCATTCTGCAATTGTATTTTTGCAGCCTCCCCTTCAGTTTTAGGCAACTTAATATTTTCAACTTTAGAGGCATAAACTATGTTTACGTTTTCTTTCTTTGCAAGTTGCTTATTTACTGCATGTAACAACAAATCATTTTCAACTATATAAGCAATTTCTTCTGATAAATGATCTTCATTGAATTCAATCATTGCATCAGAACAGGCGTCCCACACCTATTAAAAATTTTATATTTAATGTAATGTATATAACATTATTGTAAAGTATAAAACATAAGATTTTTTAAAATACTTTTATATTCTACTTTATTCCAATTTTCTAATATACCTGCATTTTTCGTACTGGGCAATGTCTTATCGCTTCTATATGTTGCCATGCTCCTATGCTTGAAAGTAAGGTACGTGTCTGTTGATTCAAAGCAACTACACGATTAGAATATTGTTCCTGGGGTTGGTACGTAACTTTGTTGCTGCCTTCTAGTAAAAGGACCTTTCTGCATTCGAGTCTTCTATTATTGGCTAGCACAATGAAAAAGCATTACATATGATTGTGACGAATGCATAAATTTCTAAACAATGATCATTTATTACATATGACTTAAATATTAGGAAAAGAGAAGCTAACCTATTGCACAGGCAAGTGTAGTTCCAACCATACCACCGCCGACAATAACGATATCATAATTTTCTTCATTTTGCGGAATTGTGCAAAGATGTTTGGCTGCAATCGTTGTTGTTCCAAGAGTGGTAGATCTCGTTGGAATTTGTATTAAATTTTTATAACATGAAAAATTTTTTACGAGAGCCGCCATTTTTCACATTTCATACTAAAAATTATATATACGTAAATATACAATTTCAAAAGATAAATATGATACTGTTCACTATACATTCATTTTGCAGTAAACAATAAGAATTTCTTACATCGCTGTTGGGTATCAAATACTTTGATCAGTTGAAATAAATCTTCTATTTTTATTGACGTATGTTTTTTTCTTACACTTAATTATTGCAAAAATACCTTGCCCCTGTTTAATTTAAACGATACACAATATAACCCCTTCCTTAAAATAGGAGAATGACAGTAAAACTTCGACGTGCACGAGTAGTACAACAATGTTTTACATGAAACGCAAATACATTGACGTGATTATCAAACAATATATCTTATTAAATGCTTTTGTTTGATTATTAACAGTAGTTTCATTATTGACATATTCAAGTGCTTAATAAATGCTACATTTATTTAAATATCGAATTCAACATTATTCGAGATGATATATACTTGATAGTCATTATGTATAAAGATTATTTACGTGTTTTGAATGAACACGTGTTTACATGTATAAATATGCGTAATAATAATTTACGAACAAATGGAAATATCAATATTTATTTTACTAACAATTTGTAAATAATTAAAATGATAACATTCTTTTATATTGACGATACTTATGATTTGCCATGGTGATGAACACAGCAGCAAGATTACATTGATCTTTTCTAAATGTGTTCTCGCATGGTGATAATAACTTTAAATAAATCCGATTTTGGTGAATTTTCGATAGATTTGAAGAAAATCGTAGATAACGATAATAAATTGAAGGCGTAAATTACATTGTTATTTATATAAATCAGTTTTTAATATTTCTGATAATAATATAATAAACGTACGGCGTCCGATAAAAACAACCGGTAAGTATCAATGCCATTATTTCGTCATAAACGCCATTACATTGTTATAAATGTGATATAACATTGTAAGTATTTGTTCGGGAAGAATATTTTAATATAAGTGAATGTCTCCCTTTCCTTAAAATTTGTTTATTTTTTAATAGGCAATGACAGAACACAGAGGAACATCATTTTACAATTCTTGTGTAAAAGTTCCAGTGGACCCTTGCAGTAGGCAACCAACACCTTCCTATGAACGTCCTAGGCTTGCAAAAAATTGCAAAGATGATTATGTTAATAAGACAGACTTTGTAACAGACAATCAAATTATTAGCGATTCAGGAGCATCAAGCCCCAGAGAAATTGTAGACAATTTTATAGAATTTTTAGAAAGTATCCCAGATTATGGTCAAGTTCATCACTTGTCAAATGAACAGTTTAAACAAAAGGTGGACTATTTAAAGAGAAAACAGAAGTTACTGTTAAAAAATTTAGAAAATTCACTTGCTGATGACGAAGAAGTGAACATGTCAGGCTTATCAATATCAAAGTACAATCAAAGATCAAAAACTGAACATAAAAATGGCACAAATGATTTAAAACTAGATGGCAAGAAGTGTTATTTGGAAGAGTTCAGAATTTCTAGCCCTATGCCGTATCCATCTGATAAATTTGTTTATCTCTTGGAGGATGAAGATTTTTTGGAGAACAGGTACCTTTAATTAACTAAGAACATGCTTTGTTTATTCATTTATAATTGTAACTTGTGTGTTGTGATTACAGATACAAACAAAGAGACAAGGAATCTAAAACAATATGCAATGAAAAGTTACACTTGGCCGACAATTATTGGGGAGCATGGTACGAATCAAAAAGTAAAGATAAATTGGAAAGTGATACAGATAGCATAGAAACAAGAAGCTTGCCAGCTAGTACATCTAAAGAATGGCATCCTACCGTACCCAAGCCATTCAGCTTTACCTTACGGTAATATAAAACATACAGTTGATTACCACATTTAAGATTCCGGTGTAAAAACTTATTCCTGAATGTTTCAGAGAAGAAGCCGAGAAGTATATGGAACAAGTTGAAACTGAGGATGCACAACGTAAAAGTTTCAGGAATAATAATAAAAGCCCCTGCAAAAAACGTCGTATAAGACCAGTCCCTCTTACATCTAAAATTCCACTGTACGACAAGTTATTAGCAGAGAAAGAAGAACGGTTTGATTCCACTTGAAACATTCAGTCGTTTGTTTAATACAAACTTGTGAAACAGTACTATTGACTGCATTTACTTTTTAGGAGTCGCATAGTACGCGAGGAAAGTGCCATAAATTTAATGTCCCAAGTACGTCCGTTTCGCCTGGAATGTGACCGCCGAGCTCGACGATGTTTAGTGCGATCCAGCCCAGAAATTCGCAGCAAAAGTGTCAACGTGTATACAAAGTTTAAAGCTAAACCGGTGCCAAAGAATCTGTTCAGTACCGAGATATATGATCGTATGCTCGAAGATGAATATTACAGGTCAATATAATGCGTAGAGTATTTTTACAGGCTATTGTATGTAAATATAATTAGGGTTGTTTGGACCAATCAGGCACCTGCAAAAACGAGTAAGGGCGGCAGAATTAATGAAATCCTCCTGTTTGCCGCCATCGATGGCAAGACGGGAACGCGTTAAATCCGCGTGCACGCGTCTGCGAGATACAAACAAGAGTTGCAACGAGAATCTTGGCAGCAGAAGCTCCCTCCAATTATCAAACGTTACATCACCATCGATGGAAAGATGTAGATCAGCAATGTCGTTACTACCAGCGCGGGGGAATAACTTAGCAGCAATATTAAGATGCCAAGTGTCACGGTACTACTGGATGTTATTCACTATACCTGCAACTCTGTACATGTTGCATGCTGCAGACATTAAAATAACATTGTATTCGTTTATTTATATTCCAGAGAAAAATTAGAACGCGAGATAAAAGAAAAAATGGAGGAGAAACGACGGGAACAAGCTATAAGGATGAGAGAATCATTTATTGGACGAAACCCTGTGTGGAGAGCTTTGAGGTCCGCGGCAAGGTATGGCTCTATTGAAATAAGATAGTCCAATGTATCAGTATTTGCAATCAACGATTACATTTCCAACGCAAGGCACGATCATCAAAGAGATCTTAACATTCGAACATCGCTGCGTCGCGACGAAGCTCGTGAGCAGTCGGAACGTCACCGGTTACAGATGGAGATGATGCTGGATCGCGTGACTCAAATACCAACTCTTTTCGAGCGTCACTCTCAGGTGTATATAATTTCAACTCTCATTCAGCGGGTTTAAAGGAACTGTCAACGAACTTCTTATTCCAGACTTACCAAACGCTGATCGAACCACAACAAAAGGACAGTTCAAAGTTGCTGCAACGAAAGAAGAAGAGGAAACAAAGACAAAAGTCGCGCAGCATAGATTGCTACGCCGACTACGAGAATATTTGCAGACCAGATTCTGGGTCGGTGACCAGTTCCTCTGGAACGTTACTATCAGTAAGCCAATCGTCGAAGTCATCGGAGGCGTCCACGTCGCATGTCTCTGACAAATCAACAGCGAAGTCTCAGTGTTCCTTTTCCAAGAAGAAAGGCGATCGTGGCCAGTTAAAAGTTTCTATAAACGAAACGGCAGAACTGATCGACGACGAGAAGGACGAGCTACACAGCGAGCAACGTTACTCTAACGAAAAGGACGGAAATACAGTGCACAGTGACAAACACATTGACAATATGAACTCTAGTCGATGCTGATATACATTCATACCTTCAGACGCTGGTTACAAGTAACAGTGCACGCCATACAATAAAACAGAGGTTTATTCAATGACAGTTTATTGTAACATTATCATAAAATTTTCCACTGAAAAAATACAAAACTCCGCGGTGCAACCGCTATATACAATTATGTATAACTCTCGTGTATCGGCGATTGGATAGAGGAAGTAGTTGAAGCGCTTTAACGCGTTAAGCGCCACGAAAATCTTAAGCGTTTCCCCATAGAGTTTGTCTTTCGCAGCAAAGAAAAGTAGGAATAATTATGAATTGTTCGGCGTTGCAACGTTTGCGTTACACTATTATCAACTCAGTTGCCTTGTTAAACATTTTTATTTCACATCGGTTGTCTTGTGTTACGATTGTTTTTTAGTCATTCAGAAGCGTCAGTCACCAGCGACTGACGTGGCGCTTAACGTGTTAACGAGGCGCTCGCTGGTTCTAGTCAGTTGAGCGCATAATAAGCTTCAAAATAAAAAAACGATGCGCACCGGATACATTAGCTCACGGTCTAATATTGTCCAAGATCCAGTCCATGTAATACACGATATTGGTGTAAGCGCCGGGCACTCCTTCTATGGCGCAGCCCCTGAGCCCGAAGCTAACGATTCCGTACTGAACGAACTTCGTGGTCTCTTTGTACAGTACCTGAGTCTGGAGCGGTCCACCGCTGTCCCCGGTGCAAGAGTCTTTGCCCCTCTTGCCGCCGGCGCAGATCTGTTTATACCAGATCTCCGTTATAGCCTTGTAAGCCTCCGCGCATTCCTTATTGCTAACTAACGACAGTTTCACTTGTAGCAGGGTCTGACTAGGTAAAGCTGTTTCCGTCGTGCCCCAACCGGTCACCACTACCTGTCGACGGAACATCGGAACAAATATTTACAAGGATACAAGAAAAAGCAATGGAAGCAGCAGAAGCGGCAGAACATGTTTATATCCGGATATCGGTGTTTACTTTTTTCTGATTCAAGGTAGCGGCGGACTCGATCGGCAAGCAAACCGGTCGCACGTTGTTTGGCCTGAAATCGGCGTCCCCGTTCAACCTCAAGAGGGCGATGTCGTTTCGCGCCGACTTCGGCACGTAGTCTGGATGGAAAATCGCGCTCTCCAGACCGAAGTCCTGGTACCTCTCCGCGCAGACCAACTCCAGGCCGTTCTCGTCCTTGTCGCAGTCGCGCTCCGTGTCCAAATCGTGCTCTCCTATCCGTACGCCGATCAGCTTGAAGTCTGAGGACAATGACGATCGAACGTGAGATTCACTGTACCAGTTTCACCAGTCGCTAACACGTTGAATGCCACGGGGTCACCGGTGACCAACCAAATCGAATTACTATGATCCAATTACTATGTTTCGAAGACTAAGTCGCCAAATGATTGAATTACTCAAACAGCAAGAGATCTTCCTGGTTTCTCTATTATTTAAGCAACTGGTATATAATGTAGCTTCTGAAAGTTTTGTGTTTCAAAGAATCGTCCGCGAAGGGTTAAACATTACTATTCGAATCATTTCTATTATCAACACATGGCGTACCGGCTAATTTTCAGAAAACTGAATTGTGCGGACGGCAATTTTCACTGAGGTCCGCTTGTATCGCTACACACGTAAGAACTCAGATATATTGTCATGTAATGTATTTTAAACAGATAATCAATTCGAATTAAATTTTATAGTTTATTCAATGCCGTGGTAATTAGCGAAGTTGCATAGCTAAGTGTCTCTATATAAAAACGAGATTTCTCGTTACCGGTACGCAATGTGTTAATATTACCTCGACATTCCGATACTACATCTTCCCCCATTTCAAATATTTTTCGGTGAAATCGCGCGGCAGTCAGCGTGTTAATTACACTCAAAACAGGATGCTCAATTACTGGTAGGCAGCCTGGTCACACAGTGGGCAGCGGTTAACACGTATCGTTTGTTTATCAGCGTCCCTGCGCACTTGAACGCCGGATTTGGACCGCCAGTGTTGTAAGCCAGCAACGCCATCCAAGGAAAGTCGAACACGCCGGTCTTGTTCCCACCAATGATCTTCGGTATGGTCGCCGGGCCGCAGTTGTCGGCATTTATCATCCGCAAGTTCGGATGGTTGCTAACATCCGGCGGGTCAGGTACAATGGTCGGCGCGTCGGTCACCGGGGTCGGCGGATTAGTCACTGGCGTCGGGGCGTCCTAAAACAATTAGACCCCAATTATGGACCGCAAATCACACATTGTGTACATAAGCCTGTGCGCTCGTTTACCTGCTGTTCGCAACAAACTTTCGGAGTCGTGTTGTCGAAGCCGCATTGCAGACTCCGTATGTAGTTGATGGTGTCCGGGGTCAACGGTCTTTGCTGCAGAAGCGCGACAACGCGGGGACAGGTGCGTACATTGATGCAAATACCGTTTCTGTTCTCTGGAGTTCTGCACGGATCCTCTGCGAGAAGAAACACGGGATCATTAAACAAAGAACATCGTGCAGAACGCTGCATGCTCGTCGATATTAACCCTTCGCGGACGGAGATTCTTTGAAATGTAGAAAACATTCAACGGATGAAGCTAAATTGTATATTGATTGCTCAAGTAATATCAATAACAGGAACTACGTGGTAATCTCTTGCTGTCCAAGCAATTGAATCATTTGTTTGCAGCGTGATCTTCCAAATATGAACGTTTCATCTCGCCGAGATGTCGACAGTCGCCGGATGATTTGATAGAGCAACATTATATTCGGTATTTACCGTCACCCTGTGTATGCCGCATCGATACGTGAAATATTGAAAGAAAATAGCTTCAGTTCCTTAATTCATATGTGATTTCTTAATCATTTCAAAGTATCTCGTCTGCATCTAATTAGAACGTATTGGATGTTACAAGTGAGAATCTCTCGAGTGCAAAGGGTTCACCCCTTGTACAATGACCAGTGAGACTCGCGAAGATTTCTAGGCTAATTTAACGACAATGTTGTTCATTACCCACGGATCAAATATCTTGCTATTATCAGTGTATTATCTTCAAATGAAATTTCCACTTGGAATGGAAAATTTTGTTGCATTTCTTCCAAATTGTCGATAAAATATTACACGAGCTTGCGAAAGTAATACGCCAAGGGGTTAATAACTACAATAGTCGATTGTTCAATCAAGGGCTACAATGATTGCTGTTCTCCGAATCAGCGTCGATCGCGCGTCGTTCGCGGAACAGGGAATCGCGAGGGGTAATTCGACGACGGAGGCAATTTGAAAATAGCCGCAATTATCGCTGTTACGTCATTATAAAACTTTACTCACGCGCGATGCACGTCTGCAGAATGAAAATAACGACCGCAGGAAGAAGGACACGAGTCATTTTCCCCTCGCGTTGTGTCTCCTCGATACCGTTCGTCGCCAGGTATGGACGGCTCTTTTCCTGTTGCCGATCTTGTCACGATCCCATCCGATCGGATACGATGGTCCCGATAACAGCAACAGAAGGAAACACAGTATCCCCGAGTGTGCGATCAGTCGCTGTTCACAGGCAGAACTGACCTGCGATTTTTCGAGCCGCCTGCGACGCGGACAAACCGATTTCGAAAACTGTCTATTTGTCAGTCCCGCGGAGAACGGATACCCGCGCGGCGGTCATCGGCGTACTAACTGCTGCCATCTTTGGTAGACTTCCGCGAGTCGCTCGGGTAAAAGAAAAGACAGCTTGGAGGGGAGGGATTACCAGGAAAATTCTTTCAGCAAACGCTACGTACGCACGCAACGCGATTTTAAATCTGCTCGAACTCCGCTTCACGGTCGTGACCGCCGCCGTGTGGAGTTCCGTTCCTTTATCGCATCATCGGTTTCCACCGACACTCCTTCTTCTCGGAAAGCTGTCCGAAGAAGACCCACTGCTTCGAGTTTCTTCCTATTTTTCCTCGTCTGTCAGCATACACTCCGCCGGTTAATTCTCAAGAGACGAGCATTGCAGACTTCGTTGCGTACTGCTACCGAGAAATCTCGTTTTTATACGAAGACTCTCGGCTGTATAACTTTGATAATTACCACAGCATTTAAGGAAATATCGAATTTGATTAGAACTAATTGTCCATTTGAAATATATTACATAATATGATACCCGAGTTTTTTTTATAGACAGCGATACAAGTGGATCTCGCTGAAAATCAGCACAATTGAATTTTCTGATAATTAGCCGGTACGCAATGCGTTAACACTAGGTTTACGGAACGCGTGAAATTGACGCATATTGGATTTTAGAAATATTGCTTTGTAAATACGCCGATTTTGATTGACGCGACCACACTGACGTGTACACCAATTACCTACTATCGAATCTCCAGTTTCCACAATCTGAATAAACGATACGCCGCCGAGAAAATTCATTGTTATGTTGATGTATAAAATGCTGTCGTAGCAGTCAAAGTGTTAATAGGGGAACCCCGTGTCGCAACTCGCGAGGTGAACGTTAAATTAACCAATCGGTGGAATTACATATTTGTTGCACGGTATCGATTACGTACGTCTACTAGTCGCTTGACTTTTAACTCGCGAGCTGCTGAAGGCGATAACCTTTTACACTGATAACGATAGAATAATTCACTTATTGCAAAGATTATGTCGAGCGTACTGAGATTACGGCAATGAAAACATTCTCTTTGCGAGATGGTCGCACTGTCTTCACCCTCGGAGGAATGCTTAGACGTTTCTTCAAGATCAAAAATACGGCAGAACCGATCGGCGACGATAAGGATGAGTTACGTGGCAAGGTTACTCTAACGAAAAGGGAAGTACAGTGCGCGGTGACAAACGCACAATAAAACAGAGGTTTATTCACTGACAATTTATTGTAGCATTGTCATAAGACTTTCCACTGAAAAAGTACAAAACTCCGCGGTGCAACCGCTATATACAATTATGTATAACTCTCGTGTATCGGCGATTGGATAGAGGAAGTAGTTGAAGCGCTTTAACACGTTAAGCGCTAAAAATCTTAAGCGTTCCCCCGTAGAGTTTGTCTTTTGCAGCAAAGAAAAGTAGGAATAATTATGAATTGTCCGGCGTTGCAACGTTTGCGTTACACTATTATCAACTCAGTTGCCTTGTTAAACATTTTTATTTCACATTCTTAACGCGTTAACGAGGCGCTCGCTGGTTCTAGTCAGTTGAGCGCATAATAAGCTTCAAAATAAAAGAAACGATGCGCACCGGATACATTAGCTTACGGTCTGATATTGTCCAAGATCCAGTCCATGTAATACACGATACTGGTGTAAACACCGGCGGCTCCTTCGGTGCCGCAGCCCCTGCTGTGCCCGAAGCTAACGATTCCGTACTGAACGAACTTCGTGGTCTCTTTGTACAGTACCTGAGTCTGGAGCGGTCCACCGCTGTCCCCGGTGCAAGAGTCTTTGCCCTTCTTGCCGCCGGCGCACATCTGTTTGTACCAGATCTTTATCGCCCTGTACGCCGCTGCGCACTGCTCGTTGCTGACTAGCGATAATTTCACTTGCAGCAGGGTCTCGCTGGGCAAGGAGGTTTCCGTCGTGCCCCAACCGGTCACCACCACCTGTCGACGGAAACATCATCGTCATCGGAACAAATATTTACAAGGACACAAGACAAAGCAATGGAAGTAGCAGAAGCAGTGGAACGTGTTTATATCCGGATCGGTGATTACTTTTTTCCGATTCAAGGTAGCGGCGGACTCGATCGGCAGGCAAATCGGTCGCACGTTGTTCCTCCGGAAATCGGCGGCCCCGTCCAACCTCAGGAGGGCGATGTCGTCTCGCCCTAGCGCGGGGCTGTAGCCTGGATGAGGAATCACGTTTTCCAGGCCGAAGTCCTGGTGCCTGTCTGCGCAGACTATCTCCTGGCCGTTCTCATCCTTGTCGCAGTCGCGTTCCGTGCCCAGATCGTGCTCTCCTACCCGTACGCTGATCAGTCTGCTGTCTGAAGGTAATGTCATAGGTGAGACTGTACCGATTTCATCATTGGGTAACACGTTGAGTGTCGTAGAGGTCACCGGTGACCCTCAAGCGAATGGGATTATTATGGTCCACTCGATTAACCCTTTGCACTCGGAGGCGCCTTTCAGTCGCCATTTGATCTGACCCATGGAAAGATGAAATTTAGAATTCAATATTAAATTTTTATATAATGCATCAACACATGGAACATCGGAACTATTTATTTTCAAAATCACTTCGAATATTCAATGCTTCGAAGATGTCAATAATTGATAAACAAGAAAATCGAAACCAGTCATTTCGACTGGTACGTAGTTCTAATATTAAACAAGCAGCTATTTTTATCAATTTAAATCAACAAGATGCCAATGTACTGACATGTGATTTCAAAGTTACATGGTCCTACAGAGGGTTAATTTATACATGTTTTCTCGTTAATTAGTTTCAAAGAACATCGTCTATATCTCATCGGAGCATATTGAACGTTTCAAGTGAGAAACTTTCGAGTGCAAAGGGTTAATTTCAGTTAAAAAAAAGAATGCTCAATTACTGCTACTCAGCCTGGTCACACAATGGGCAGCGGTTAATACGTATCGTTCGTTAATCAGCGTCCCTCCGCAGCCGAATCGTGGAGCTTGCCTGCCGACGTCGTAAGCCAGCAACACCATCCACGGAAAGTCGAACACGCCAGTCTTGTTCCCACCAATGATCTTCGGTATGGTCGCCGGGCCGCAGTTGTCGGCATTTATCAGTCGCAGGTTCCGATGGTTGCTAACATCCGGCGGATCAGGCACCGAGGACTGCGGATTAGGCGCTGCGGTCGTCGTAGGGACCTAAGGCAATTATTGCGGGATTAATGGTTCGTTGTGCGTGCGTAAGGGCGACCAGGTCGTATGGATGTTTGGAAAATAGTTGACTAAAATAAAAACTAAGTCCGTAGTCAGGTTAAATATATTTATTACGCGATGTGGCTCTAACGAGGAACGTCGACCAACTGGCTTTTCCTCAGCGCTTTTCTAAAAAGGAAAACTCTTCAGACGAGGGCGTGCGTACCAGGTCCTGGTGGTCCCCTTGGTCATAAATTAGTCAACGGGCCTGGTCTATATCTCAGGCCCCCAAGTATTGACACGCGAAAGGGCGAACCGTCTACAATAGCCTGTGCGCTTGTTTACCTGCTGTTCGCAGCAAACTTTCGGGTCTTTGTTCTCCAAGCCGCATTGAAAACTTCGTATGTAGTTAATGGCGTCTGGGTTCAATGGTTTTTGTTGTAGAAGCGCGAGAACGCGGGGACAGGAGCGTACGTTGATGCAGACACCGCTTCTGTCCTCTGGAGTTCTGCACCGATCCTCTGCGAGAAGAAACAGATTGTCAAGCAACGCGAGGGAAGCTAGTACGGATACAGGAATTGCAAGCTGCTTGTGATATCAACCCTTTGCACTCGAGAATATTTTTCTCAATACATATTCATTATTTTCTGACGAAATTTCAATGGTATCTTTTGCAATTGACATAAAGAAATACCTTAAGTGAATTAAGTGACAGAACTATTTTATTTTGATGTTCCATTTGTCGATGCGTTATAGAAAAATTCAACACTGAATTTTAAATTTTCCTTTTCCAAAACGAAATTTTGGGTTCTCGATCGTTTCTCTATAGAAATGAACTATCAAGGCATTTGTAATGTTCGGAGTGCAAAAGGTTCACACGTTGAATGCCATGGGGTCACCGGTGACGCCCAAATCGAATTACCATAGTTCACTCGATTAACGATGATTATATGAGCATTTCAATATTACAGACAATGCTAGCTAATATGGTGACATTCAGCTGGATGGAATAGTAATAATGCAATTCACTTAAATGGTTTAACATTATATTTTTCCTGCCTATTTTCCTCTACGAATGCGGCGTTCAACGTGTCAACACTAGGTTTACGGAATGCGTCAATTTGCCGCATACTGAATTTCATAAACATTACTCGGCAAACGTTTATGTTTTCGTTGATACAGTTACAAGAATACGTATCGTAATAACCTAATTTTAAATCCTTAATCTCCAAGATCTAAACAGTCGAACTTCAATTTTTCTAGGAATAGAATAAACCGGACAATAAACGTCCGTAAACCTAGCGTTAATAACTGCAACAGTCGTCAGTCGGTTGTTCAATCAAGGGCCACGATGATTGCCGTTCTCCGAAGCAGCGTCGATCGCGCGTCGTTCGCGGAACAGGAAACCGCGCGGGGTAATTCGATGACAGGTAGAGGCGGTTTGCGAGTAGACGCAATTACCGCGGTTACATGTTTATGAAACTTTACTCACGCGCGAGGCATGTCTGCAGAATGAAAATAACGACCGCAGGAAGAAGGACACGAGTCATTTTCCCCTCGCGTTGTGTCCTCTCGACACCGTTCGTCGCCAGGAATGGACGGCTCTTTTCCTGTTGCCGATCTCGACGCGATACTGTCCGATCGGATACGATGGTCCCGATAACGGCAATGGAAGGAAACGGCGCTCGCGTCCTCGAGCATGTAATCAGTTGCTGTTCACGCTCAGAAATGACCTGTGATTTTTCGAGCCGCCTGCGACGCGGACAAACCGGTTCCGAAAACCGTTTATTTGTCCGCCCCGCGGAGATCGGACGCCGGCGCACTAGCTGCTGCCATCTTCAGTGGACTTCTGCGCCGCTTTCGAGTAAAAGAAAAAATGGCTTGGAGAGGAAAGGTTACCAGGAAAATTCTTCCAGCGAGCGAGCCGTACGCGCGATTCTAAATCCGCTCGAACCCTGCTTCACGGTCGTGACCGCGGCCGCTTATCGCATAACCGGTTTCCACGGTCGCTCGTTCTTCCCGGGAAGCTACCCGAAAAAAACAACCACTCCGAGGTTTCTCCTATTTTTCCTCCTCCGTCGATTCTCGTTTCATCGGTTAATTTGCAAGAGACGAGTATTGCAGGCTTCGTTGTGTTGATTCAACCGCGTTAACACGTCGCGCACTGCTACCGAGAAATCTCGTTTTTATACGAAGACTCTCGGCTGTATAACTGTGATAATTACTACAGCATTTAAGGAAATATCAAATTTGATTAGAACTAATTGTCCATTTGAAATATATTACATAATATGATACCCGAGTTTTTTTTATAGACAGCGATGTAGGTGGATCTCGCTGAAAATACGCACAATTGAATTTTCTGATAATTAGCCGGTACGCAATGCGTTAACACTAGGTTTACGGAACGCGTGAAATTGACGCATATTGGATTTTAGAAATATTATTTTGTTAATACGCCGATTTTGATTGATGCGACCACACTGACGTGTACCGCAATTACCTACTATGAAATCTCCAGTTTCAATCTGAATAAACGAGCATCGATTCTTTTGGGAATAATAGAATCAAGTGTACAATTTCATGAAAATGAAATGAATCCTATAGATACTGTTACTAGAAATTAAACTACATTACACAGGAACTCGACTCGACTCGTTTCATTCTAATATTCTGTTTAGATTCATTGGAGATATTAGAATCGAGGAGACTGAAATAAACGCCGGCAGCGGTCTTACTTGGGGAACCCCTTATCGCAGCTCGCGATGTGAATCAACCAATCGGTGGAATCGTTTATTCGTTGCATGCTAAAAATACGCAAATATGTAACGACTGCACTCGTGTGCGCGCAGACGGTAAATCCACTAGTCGCATGACATCTAGCTCGCGAGCTGCTGGAGCCGATAACCTTTTACTCCGATAACGATAGAATAATCCATTTATTGCGACGTTTAAGTCGAACAAAGCGAGATTACAGTGGCGAGAAACATTCTCTTCCGGACGAGTCGCGCAATCGTCCCCTCGGAGGATGCTTAGACGCTCCTCGGAGATTACAAATATGCCTTACACCGCGCTCCGCGAGCGTATCGCCGTGCGGATCCAAACGAACACCTATCGGACTCCCAGATAACCTCGAGCACCTTACGGTCTCATCTTGCTGAGTATCCAGGGCATGAAGTCGATCACTTTCGTGTAAACGGCGGCCCAGCCGGGCGTGCCGCACGGGCTCGGCCCGAAGGAGACGACGCCGACCACGGACCATTTCGCGTTCCCGCTTCGGTTCCTCTTCCGGTACATCAGGGGGCCGCCGGAGTCCCCTTGGCAGGTGTCCTTGCCCCTCTCGCCGCCGGCGCAGAATTGATTCGGGCTCAGGACTATACCCGCGTTGCCGTAGTTCACCTGGCACGCCTCCCTGTCGCTGAGCGGCAGCGAGACCTTCAGCTTGATGTTCGAGGACGACGTGTTCTCCGTTTTGCCCCAGCCGGCGGCGTGCAGCTTCGGCCCGATCTCCGCGGTCGTCGGCAGGCAGATCGGCTTCACGTAGTCGGTGAACAGGACGTCGCGCGACAGCCTCAGCAGCGCGATGTCGAACTTCCGCTCCTTCGATCGCGGCCGGTAGCTCTCGTGGGCGATCTGCTCCTCGACGGAGACCGTGATCGGGTCGTCCGCGCAGACCGTCATCACGTCTCCGTCCCAGATGCAGTCGGTCGACGTGCTGGTGTCGTACTCCCCTAGGCGCACGTTCTCCAGCCGCCAATTGTTCGGCAGATCGCCGCTCGAGACGCAGTGGGCTGCGGTCAGCACGTAACGCTTGCTGATCAGCACTCCGCCGCAGGCTGTTCGCCTGCTGGTCGCTGGAACATGGATCCTTTGTTTGTGAATTGTTCAGAGGTTGAGGAGGACTGTGGGAATGAGATTGTTTATGGGCGTTGGAGGATAGATTTAACCCTTAGCAGTCCTGTGTCGGACTCGACGTTCTATTTTATTGCAACCTCTACCTGTTTTAACCCTTTGATTCTTTGTGAATAGTTCATTTGGTTGAAGAGGACTGCGGGAATGAGATTGTTCATGGGAATTGAAGCGTGTAAGGATAGTGGAGGATAGATTTAACCCTTAGCAGTAGTGTGTCGGACTCGGCGTTCTGTTTTATTGCAACCTCTACCTGTTTTAACCCTTTGCAAACGAACGTCGACATTTCGACGAGATGAAATTTTCATATTTGGAAGTCTAAGTCGTAGACAAATGATTCAATTAATGGAATCGCAAGAGATTAGCACGTAGTTTCCTATTTTTCTATTATTCAAGTAATTGATGCTTCACGGCATCAAATCAAATGACTGAGAGTCACCTCTGCAAAGGGTTAATTATAATCCTGAGTAAACGTAGGCATAGAATTCTCTTTTTCTAACAAAATCAAGAGCAATAAAATACTCTCGAGTAGCATTGTAAAAGAAATCGTAGGACAAGGGTTGAAACGTATTCGTTGCCATTATTAGGTATCCAAAAGGTGAGAGATTCAAGGACCTAAAAGATCTCCATTTCATCCTTACGATTCGAGTACTCCAAGAGCGCCATCCACGGGAACTCGTCTATGTCGGTGCGGTCTCCACCGACGATCCTCTGCGACAGATCCTTGCCGCAGTCGGCAGGCAGCAAAGGATTATTGGACAGGTCGTACTGTACGTTCTCATTGCCCTCGTTCCCGGTGGGAGTCTGGTTCCCCGAGCCGTCCGGGACTTGAGTCCCGTCGCCTCTGGAGGGCGTGCTGACGTCCGGCCCTTGATTTGGGCAGCAGACCTCAGGATTCGATCCCGCGAAGCCGCACTGCGACTGCCTCAGGAAGTTGATCGCCTCAGACGGAAGGGGACGCATCTGAAGTATATTCAACAGCGGCACGCACTGCCTTATCCCGATGCACGTGCCAGGTGCGCCGTTCGGCGTCGTGCAGCTCGATCCTGCGTTCTCTGTAAACGAGAAATCGTCGCTTGAAATAACAACGATGACATTAATCGTCGGACGATCATGGATTGCCGGTCGACCTTCGAGCAACGTCATTGTATATTTTATTACTTATCCTCGTCGCCATCGTTCAGATGATTGCCTTGATACAGCGGACGGGTCTTCCCGTCGTTTCGTAATTTCTGCTCGGAGCGATTGCCGAGGAACGTTTACGAAAGGAAGCGTTCGTCCAATACAGTTTCTTTATCGGTGATTTTCAAATCGGTTTGTTGGGGAATTATTCATCGCGAGATTACGATCGGTTTGAGCTGTTTCTACTTACGCGCGTTGGCAGGATAGAGTAGCAAGGCCTGGAGAACAGCGCTTAGGACGAGTAACTTGGCCATTCTCGATTTCGCTCGACACGGTCACAAGTGTCGACTGTTGGATAGATCTGTTCGCACTCCTGCCGATCGCGGTTGTTCCGAAGCGGGGCTCCGATTTATGGAAACTCGACGCGCCAGCGGAACTCGTGGTAGTCGCACGGAAGACCAAGACGCCGACTGACAGCGGCAATGTTAGGCTGACCGAAGTCACGGCCAACGAGTTCCCCCACTATTTAAACGTGTTCCGTTTTCCTAATTGATCTTTGATATTTCGCACAATTCGCGGGATCCTCTGCGGTCTGCCCACCTACGAGTGTTCTCCGGTTCTACGCGTGTCTCGCCATTTCGGCGGTGGCCAATTTAAACCGTACGACGTGCCGTTTTCGCAGCGTTGGTAGGACGCAGACGAAATGGAGGAAAAGTCGGCGGGACTGTTCACTTGTGGTCTTTTTTCGGTCGCGTGGCTCGCTGCTGATACGATTAAATGGGAACAGCCGAGTTTCATGCATATGCATAGAGTTTCTGATTTTGTGCGGATAAATTCGATCTTGAGAGCGGACGCGTTGTTGTTGCGTACGTTGCGAACGCTGTTGATTCAGTTGCTTCGAGTTTCTTCAATGCTTTAGAGATTTATCTAATGACGATTAGCATTGCGTGCGGGCCATTTTGTTCGCTTCAACTTGTATCACTTATCTGTTATTCGACGTATCGAGATTTATCAAATGACGATTAACACGTAATGTGCAAGCCATTTTGTTCATCTCAACTTATATTATTTATTTTTCGATATATCTTCGAGATTTATCAAATGACGATTAACATTGCGTGCGGGCCATTTTGTTCATTTCAACTTGTATCACTTATGCATTAATCAATGTATCTTCGAGATTTATCAAATGACGATTAACATTGCGTGCGAGCCATTCTGATCATCTCAACTTATATAATTTATTTTTCAATATATCTTCGAGATTTATCAAGTGATGATTAACACGTTACGTGCGGGCCATTTTGTTCGTCTCAACTTATATCATTTATTTTTCAACGTATCTTCGAGATTTATCAAATGATGATTAATAGTGCGTGCGAGCCATTTTGTTCATCTCAACTTATATCATTTACGTTCGATTTATTTATTATTCAACACATTTTCGAGTTTCCATTACGAATAGAAATACTTTCATACGCAGAAGGAATCGACTATCTACTTTTATCAAAAATATTAATGAAGTTATACAAGTATTTAATACTACTCGACGGTATATAAACAGTGTTTTTATATTTCCCGCATACAATGCGTTAACACGTTGAATGCCGCACGATTTCATATAGCAAAGTCGAAAAAATATAATATTAGATCATACGACTGAATTGCGTTATTATTATTGCATGTTCATAGCTGAATGTCACTGCATTAGACAGCATTATTTATAATATAGAAATCTTTTTAAATAATCATAGTTTCACTGGGTGAACTATAGTAATCTGATTCGGTTGGGGTCACCGGTGACCCCCATGACATTCAACTTGTTAAGAATCGTCGAACACGTTGATGATTCTTGAAATTTGAAGGTTTCAAGGGAAATAGTGGAATTACTACAGTAGTTGAGTAGTTCTAATATTTAGAAATTTTTGATTAGACAAAAGAGCGTCAATTTCGATATCTCTCGATTTTGTTTACGTTCGTAAGGATCGCCATGTAAAAGAAATGTAATTTTTCTACGCAAAATTTGTACTCCGCGGGAAAATTGAAGATGACCGTGGAGTATAGTTGTACATCATCATCATCTACGTTATCAGATCAATCATCTATTAGGGAAAACAAATCTAAGAATGTAAGATCATCTGAAATTACTTTTCTTTTAAATAGGCTTTTGTACAATATGATAAATATAATGTATATTATACATATGTAATAATTATTTCCAATTTGTTTTATATGAACAGTGCCACAAATCTTGTTACTATATTTGTCTGGGAACTTTGGCACATACGGTACATACGCAAATTCAGAGGAGGTATAGAAAGAACGATGACTTATATTTAACTGGTTCAAAATATGTGGAAGACATCTATAAATGGGTGTACCGATGCAAGTACAGAGAATTGCTTGTAAATGACTTCTTCAAGTCGTTTATTGCTTCGGTAGTCTTATTTGCATTAGGTGCTAAATTAGCCAGTGAGTTAGCAGCATGGAAAATCTCTTGATAATGTTAAAGAGAATAGTAACATTCTCGAATGAAATACTGATGAGAATTTTATTAGACAAATACTTGTACAATGTTATCTGTGAAACACAGAAATAAAACTTAATTTTATGGTAACATTAATTCTTAATGTAGAATATACTCATGTACATTCTTTAAGATTTTCACCTTCGGATTTGATTGGATTCGAGTTAGAAGATTCATTGGAATCTACTGTAATGGTATCTGTATTTAATGCTGTTATATTATTTAAGATTTTATCACTGACTTGATGGTCAGAGGAAGTTTCTGAAGAGTTCCCTTCTGTCCCATTTGTGTTCCCATTACTGCTCCCACTCTCGTCGCTAGAATGTCCACTATCATTGGATATTTGTTCATTTTGATTTGGTTTTGAATTTGTTGCTTCATCATTGTCACTTTCATCAGAACTATCTAATTCATCTGAATCAATATCAATATCTAATAATGTTTTTCTTTTCTTTTTAACTGATTCAAGTTCTTCATCTTCCTTTCTTTTTACTCCAGACACACCTACAGCTTTAAATCCTTCTTCAACAGCACTACCGACCCTTTCTGTTAAAGCTGATCTTTCACGGTCATAGGTCTGATCTTTGAATTCATGCTTTGGTTCGGTACAAAGTCTTTCTAGCTTCTTCTTCTTACGTTCTGCAGCTTCCTCTTCTCGTTTGCCTTGTTTTTCGATCCAAGCTTTTAATCGTTTCTCTTCATTGATGTCACGAAGTCTACGTCCACTTAAGTCCCTGCAAGCTTCGCGATTCGTAGTTTTCTCAATTTGTGCACCGATCGCGCGTAACATGGATCCGAAACCTCCTTTGCCTCCCAACAATCGTGGAAAAATGGAAACGCATCCATCGTAGCATGTATCATCATCATTCGCAAGTTTTCCATTATGCACGATATAAAAGTGTTCCCTTGGAAAATTCTGTAACCCAAATTTATTGTTTTTACTTCTTCTAAACGCAACATTTTAAGGTTAGAAATAACAACTACGTTACTTACTATCAAATCTTCGATTCGATTATGGAGTTCATGAAATTTAAGTGATCCATCAATAGTAAGAATCTGTTTTATACCAGATGCTGTACTTATTTGTACATTTATCATTTTTATGACCTACAGAACTCTCACAGAATCAAATCAACTCACAACTATTCACAAAACTAACTGTCAAGTAAAAGGTTATTCTCTCTAGAGATTTCAACAGCTCATAGAGTCATCTACGGTAAACTGTTGAAGCTGCTCTCTAATTAAGAATTGTATTTAGTTGATAGATGGCGTTAACATGAAAGTGACTGAACATTGTGGAATGGTAAGGTAGCGCCAGCTATTGAACAATGTACATACTAATTGACAATAAGCTTACATGTTTTATCATAGATGGCGAGATATAATCTTTCGCATTATACATGGAATATTGTTACAAATTCATGTAAATTGTTATTGCAGAATATTGACTCAAGGGGAGTTGATAAACAATTTCATCTTATTCGGAAAAAATTAAATTGTAATTTACACGATTACGCGATTATTTTATATTTTACTCTTCAGTTGCAATGTATACCTTGCAGAAGGTGCACTGATAAATCAGTTTATCATACAATGCTGAGAAATGACATTGGAAATATCATTTCAACACATTTTGGGTTGAACAATGTATTTTTGAAGCTTTGTACAAGCATAGGAACATTATTATTACATAACTTCTTCCATTAGACAGCTTATATGGTTAAAAAATAAATAAAATACACTATTTTAGTCGCCTTGCGAGATGGGGGACCCACGGTCGCGTTTAGACCCCTTGCCCTTGCCTTTTGTCTTTGTCTCTCGTTTTCTACTGACCGAAGATGTAGACGTAGTAGATGTAGAGTCAGCTGGACTCGAATGGCTCGAGCCTTCTCGATCCCAACGAGCCAAAGCTTCTCTTAAATTTTGTCCATCACTTTCCTCATAAGTATCAACATCCACATGAAGATTATCCTGACCAGTTTGAGTATTATTCCCAGATTCTAAGTTTGCCCTCATCTCTTTCCTCTGATCCTCCGTATGTTGCGGACAACGCATAGACCTTGTGCATAGCTTCTTAGTGTGTTCCGATATCACTCCACAAATCTGAGTCAACAGAATCCTCTTATCCTCCAAAGACATATTCTCGTAATTCGACGGAGAATTCTCATTGCTACTATGGACATGCTCATTCATGCTATCCCCGTTTCTCTGATTATTCTTCTGCTGTTTCGTTCTCTTAATGCCATTACGATCTTTCCTGCGTTTGCGTTTGTCATTGTTTAAACTCCAATCGACGTCGTCGTCGTCGTCACTTATTACACCACTGAAGTTACTAAGATCCTTCGAGTTATTCGCGATACGTCTCGACGCGATTCGCGAGCTGTTACGTCCCATACCCATGCACTTTTCCAAATGCGTCGCGAAACGGCAAGCCGCGACTCCTCTGTCGCAATTCGGGCAGTTGCATTCTTGAGATTTTTTAACAGGATGCTGTCCAAACACGTCCAACCCTGGGGAATCTGCAATAAACCAACATAACCTGAGTGACAGTACCTCGTGCCTCAACACGTTCGCGGACGCGAATGCCATAGCATTCATCATTGCAATGCCAAATGACTTAAATGCTATAACATTCAAATTCATAAACCACATTATCATTTAATCCCATGTAACCTTCATTTTTTGACAATGTCACGCACTCTAACTCTTAGAACTAAATTTTCATTTTTTCCATTTTTGCAGCTCGTTAAAATTTTCACCGTCCGCAAGCATGTTAATAGAATTGAATTATATCCATTTCTTTCACTTACCTACAATGGCATATGACTCATCGTCAGGTATACCCTCCTCAACATCCGAGCTGCCAGTCTTCGTGGTGCGATGCACGTCGAAAACAAAACCCATCAATACCTCGTCGAGGAGGTCCTCGTAAATTTCTTTCGTGGCCGACTCCACATTCTCGTTTTTCCCCATGAAGTCCAAGAATCGTTTGTTTAATTCCTGTATTCTCTCCTCGGTTACGGACATGGTCAGGTTTCCAGTAATCCGGGAACCGGAGCTCTCTCTCTCTCTCTGTTTACTCTCCCGGAATGACAGCTGTGATTCGTAACATGTGCGCCTCCCGTTTCCTCGGACGAGCCACGATTGTGGAACGTCGAGCGCTTTTCATCAAACTCGACGATTATTTACCTGCGGCGGTCCAACTTTTTTTGGGCTATCGAAACGTTCCTTTTCCTCGCGAACAACTCGAGTAAACTTACGGAAAAGCGATGCCGCAACTTTCGCACGCTGCCGACGATGACAGGCCGAAGCGTGCGAAGTTGTCTCTCGCCTACGTTACCGACAGACGCTAACACGTCTCCTCTCGTGTCACGTGACGCCGACAAAATGGCGATACAATTGAATTTTGATCGCACTTCTTTTATAGACACTTTCATTAGACGATCGTTCAAATGAAGTCTATCGGAATACTTTAATTATATGAATTATGGATAATTCAGTTTCTATTTTATTTTCATTTCCGTTCACTTTGGTATTCGTTAACACATTCCGTGTCATGGAATTTTTCAATGATAGATTAACTCTTTAAGCGCCATGAAAATATTGACCATTTTTCTGTAGTTATCCCTTTAGCAAAGAAAAGTAGCAATTATTCACTAGTTAGTACAATCTTTGCATTGCACTGTTATCAAGTTAGTTACGTTGTTAAATATTTGATTCGACGTCGATTGTTTTGTATGTTACGATTGTTGTCAAGTAATTCAGAAGTGTTAGTCATTCGTGATTGATATGGTATTTAACGTGTTAAGTTACATTCAAGCTTTTGCTGATTTTTTTCTTGATTATTTCTTTACGTTTCTGTTATTCCGCGGCGTGTATATTCTTTGACACATGTCTGACGAGGAACGTACGTTTCCTCACAAAAATTCCGCGTGCCACGGGACGTGTTAATACGCGATCACTCCTTTACACATTGTGGCATTTACGAGCGTAAATATATTACAGGGCAAATGTATGTATTTCTAATGACCCATCGTTCCTTATTACAGTTTCGAACGACGCGAATAGATCTCGGCCTGTTTCCATAAGATTTATAGCCTTCAGCTTGGCAAACCACAAAAATATCTGTTCAAGTTGTTAGCGTTCTTTTTTCGAATCGGACAAATCTTCTTTCAACACGGTTGAGACAGTTTTGCCCGGTATTGAATTTCATTTATGTATTTCTGTGCGAACAACTGTTCTCAATTAAAGGACTAAGTTTTCCATTCGCAGAATTCGATGCAAGTTGGAGCTCTCTTCCCTTTGGCAATTGATCAATTCACGCTGACATTTGAAATTCCAACCAAGCAGAGATAGACGTCGTAGAGGTAAATCGTTTCACCCGGAAGTGTAAGGTTCATTAATGTTTTTGTATCTAAGAAACAGAATCGGTTCCAACGGAGAAATTTAGCTTAAAACGTTGGGCAGCTGCCAGTGCAATATCCAATACAGCGCGAGCGCGAGTGGGCCGATCCAGCTTACCGTTATCGTTAAATAAACAATCGTGACACAGTTTGTTACACTTTGTCAAAAGGAATACCAATGTTAATGGAACTGTTTACCGCGAAACTTTGGGTTCCATGGAGCTGCTGCAAAGGTCACGAGCAGTGGCTGCGAAAATAAAAGCCAATCGCAGCCCGTCATCGTTTTCCTTCAAGTACGCACATTCCCGATGATTCCTTCCAGCACCTTGACATGATTCTCTCGCCGTTGAAACGACGACACACCGTGTTCAAAAAAAGAGTAAATCACGGTGCTCGTGTGCTAAAAACTGACTGAACAACTCCATTTCCACCGAAGAATCTGGATTCAACTAGCACCTACGTTTACTTAGGAGCTAGCTGGGATAGTCAGGTTCATTAAAAACACGTTCAAATCTGGACTAAAGGGAGCACTGAAGAACACAGAATCGAGGAAGGTTGCTTTCTGATTGCCATAGAACCCTTCTTCAAGCCTGATGATTAAATCTCTCCCGTGCAAATGAGAAACGAGCAATGAGAAATAGGGTAAACGATTGTCAAATGCCTATAATATACTTCCTATACGCATTTAATCCATGAATACGTATATTTTATACTCATCAGGGGTTAAAGACACACCGATACTGATGTGTCTGTTCTTAACCCCTAACGAAGCCAGCAACGATGGCGAAACGTTGGAAATAATTTCTAATTGGCTCTACTCGAAAGCCACATGAATATAACATTCCAGGCTGTGGAATATTCTTCTCATTAGGTAGCAATGATACCGCTAACGTAACAATTCCATCAAGTACGCCACCTTTCCCCAACTAACCCCAATATCCCCTCGGCAAGAAATACGAATCGACTCTCGTTCTAACTCAATTCGATCCGACGTCAGAGGAGTCAGCGAAGCTCCCCAAAGTCGAGGAGCAGAAGGGACCGTGAATCAAGAGGTGAGGATCAGTGGGAAGCCGATGAAAGGGGGCGGCCAGTTGCAACCTTCACACGATTCTATTTTTTTCGATGCATCAGCCCGCGCGTCGGAGGTGACGCAACCTCGCAGTGATGCTGCGGGCTGTGTCTCACCTCGGGGGAGGGTCGCGATACAAGCGGGACCGAAAGAAAAGGACGCGGCGAGGTGGGGTGAGAATCATCCGCGGTAGAAGTCGAACAAGAGTTTCGGCGAACGGGCAGAACCGTACGAACCTTCATCGCGGCCGCAGCGAGCGGGATCTTTCACTTTGGTGCGAACACACACACACACAGACACACGCGCATCCACACACATCTATACAGACCGCAATCGTTCTCGTCAATCGTCCGACGAACGCCGAGGAAGGAAGCACGCGTTCGAACCAGCAAACCTAGACGAACGAGCGAACCTTTGTCCGACCGAGCAGAAGAACGAAGAGAGAAGCAGCGAACATGGTTTACGAGAGCGACTTCTACACGACCCGGCGGCCGTACACGCGGCCCTACGTCTCGTCCTACAGCGTCACGGTCAGTATCCACGGGATTGCCGAAAGAGCGGGATGAAGTATGTCTTAATAATGTTTTGTTGGATGGCACTAACGTCGAGTAAGAGCCCCGTGTGACACGGAAACACTTTAACCGAGCCAACCCCGGTCAAGACCCGATCCGGGAATCAACGTTTCGCTCGTTCGGTCATTGGTTTTTTTTTTCTTTCTTTCTATGTTCCCGTTTCTTGTTGTTCCCCGTTCCTCCATCCCCTATCCTTTGAACCTATCGAACAGCGTAACCGTCGAACACACGCTTCAGACCGCTTTCGACGTGTCTCGTAGAGGCGCTGTCACCCGTGTGCTCCGTTTGAAATGCCGTCGAACGGCGAAACGTTGGCTCTCCGGTGATCGAAGATAAAAACGAGAAAACAGAGCGACACGCCTCGATCACCGGCCGTTCGTTCGCGAAATCGATCGACGACAGGCACGCGACGTCGAGCGGATCGTCGCTCACTGTCGCCGGATCGAGTTCGATGCGTTTCGAAGTCTCTACTTCCACACTGTACTCCGACCACTGTATCATATACTTGTTGCTCTACTACCGTTGTCGCCATTACTGTTGCACAACCAGACCTCGAAACGTGCACCCCCCGGTGCCTCCCCCGGGAGTCCGGCGCAACCCGAAAACCCACCGCGAGCCACGGACTCGAGATCATCGGGGATGACAGCCCGTGCGCGCCCGTTCGGTTGCGTGGCCGACAGTTTCCTACAGGCTCGTAGGAAACGTGTCGCAACTTCCGGCTCACGGGACCGATCTCTACAGAACCTCTGACTATGACTTTTCATGATTTGTTGTACAAAGTACTCCCGCTGTGTCCGTTTTTTCTTTTTCTTTTTTTCCTTCCAAGCTGTTTTGTATGCGTATGTTGTGCCCTGCGGCGACACGGGCACATTTGCCAGCTGTACGTCGGTTTTGTGGTTTAACCTGTCACTCTGTCCCGCCGTTGTTGGGTCGTCGAGCGACGCGTCGTCGGTCCCCCGATGCTCGATTATTTCGACTTCGAACGATCGACGCGAGGCCGCGGCCCGAAGTCGGCGGCCCGAAGGTCTCGCGCGGCGAAGCCTGCTTCTGCCCGTCGAAACGGACATTGGAAAATTAGTATAAATAGTGTGATTTGAGAGCAAAGGAGTCGGAGGGAAGACTATTCATAGCGTCGCAGCCGTTTTCCGGGACTTGGTCGCGTTAAACTTAGACGCCGCGCGACCCGGCGATCTCGGATCTTCGAACAGGAAAATGGATTCGCCGAGCCGAGCCGAGGATCGTCGGATCGAGCGAAGATTCGAGCGAAGATCCTCGCGCACGTTCGAACTTGCGCCGATGCGTCTCGGCGAGCGATGGGTTCGAGGCTTTTCCACTTTTTCGTCGAGCACACGAACGCATCGCTCGTAGCCCTCGTTGCGAGTTTCGATGTGGACCTTAACGCTGCAACTACCGGATCATTGAAAATGACCAGTTTCCTGTCTCTTTATCGATTATCAAGGCGCGGATGCTCCTGTGGCAAACGATAATATATTGATTCGTATAAACTCAAAGTAGAATAGCTGATTGAAGTCTCGATTACTCTTAAACTCGTCGAATACTCAAATGTTTTACACATTGTACAAGGAACCAGAAGTCATTTCTAATTCTGAAACCTATCTTTACTTAGTAAACAATACGAAATCTATCTTTAATTCATTTCCAACCCTCTGAGTGCCACGAGTCTTCCAAAAACAGAGAAACGCCAAGCGTCATCTTTCGTTTCAGCTCAGAAATTGAATTTTCTTTCTAAATACTTTATAAAATCATTCTAAACACTGCAATCATTCTACTCTTCCATTTCCAAGCAGGCAATAATAAAAATAAATAATTATGAAGACGAAGTAAACTTCATTCGATTCCACGAACCGATAGATTGCCACTTTCGGACAGCGAAACGAAGCGCGATCGCTGCTTGCCACTCAGACGGTCAACGAAATAATCAAAGAATCCCTTTCGAATCGACAAACTTCATTTTCAACGGGAAGCAGCGACATGTCACTGCTCGGTAGTTCCAGCGTGGAGACGTCTCTGCGACGTCGAGTCGGTTCGAGCAACGGAACCGCGCGGATCCGTGAAACACTCGGACTCGTTGCCGCGGCTGTCCACCTCGCCGTTTTACGGCCTAACGTTGATCTTCACCGAGGAAGATGTACGCCGACACTGTTGGCAGCGTTTCATCCCGAGAGGTTTTTTACCATAGCCCGAACGATCGCCTCGTTCCATTGCCGATCGTAGATCAATGGCGCCATTAACGGGCGACCCAAATACCTAGGCTCTCGCCAGTGATCCTAACTACGGCCCGGAAGATTTTCGTTCAGGCCTCCGCCGCGAACGATTTCAATGACCGTGCTCGTTGAATCGACACGCGAGGAGTCTCTCGGTGCGACGCGTTATTAACCCGTTCCGTCCTAACCGCGATTTCTTTCCGAAAACAGCGAAGAGAATCGGCTTCCCCGATTGAGAGCACCTCCGGAGAATAACGCGAAGTACCGAGACGGATTCTCTTCGGTTTGACGATAAACCAACGAAACATCACCGACAAGGAACTAGGATTCTGAAACATTTGTTGGCCAATGAAACGCCGGAGAAATATAATTCGCGAGAAATCTGGATTTCTTTGATTCGCCCGATCCGAGTCGCTTCGACTATCCTACGGAAGTTCTCTGGAAGCATCGCCACCTCTCGTCTAATATCGCGTCAGAAATATTCGACTTCAGAAAATCGAGAGTTCATTCGTTCGACGTAAATTCAGTATCACCCGACCAACCTTTAAGTAGACACGTAAGCGTCAAGTTTCATTCTCCAAGGAGCGATTGACGATGAACCGATCCTATTCGGACTTACAGAAGTCCTAGGGTGCAAGGAAAGCCAGCAGCGAGGACGGGGTAAAATGGGTTAAGAATTTCCCCGTGTTCCTTCGTTTCGGGTAGAGGGGACCAGAGAGCCGGTGTTGCGTTACCCTGTCCTAATTTAGGCTGACGAGTAACCAGCGACGTTCGCTCCCACCACGGGAGCCAGAAGCCCGTCGCGGAAATTCATACGCGACTCTCTGGCGTGCACGTCCGGCGGACGAGAGCGTCCGCCGGTTCCTCGTAAAAGTGCACGCTTCCTCCCGAACGTTCGACGTGCGTTTTTACCGCCGGCCGATTCCCGTCGCCCGAAATAGTCGACCGGCGGCGATGTAACTCGAACGGTCTTATTAAATATCGCTCATCCAACGAAGGAGAGAAAGAGAGTTCTCGATTCCCGGGCTATAATTAGAGTAGCGGCGTGGCGTTGTGTGTGCTTGGCGGCCGCCGCGGCCCGACCCACACGGAGGATTACCACACGACCGCGCTCTTTCGTCACGTTATCCCTGAACGATTGTTCCGTCGTTTACGCGGAACCAGCGTGCCCCGACTTCCGCAGAAAGTGCCAAAGAATCCGCCGCGCGGGCGGTATTCTAGGGCGGCTGATTCACCGCGGAGAACTGCCTCGGCGCAACGATATTCGTGGAAGCCGCGTAAAAACGGGGTTGAACGAGTGGGAATCGGCGGAATGCACGCGGCCGAGCACCGTTCTCCGCGGTGCGCGCTATTTTTACGCGAGGAACGCTCAAGGATCGCTCACCGACGGGGAGGAAGGCGGACCGACTCGACCGGCCTGTCGTCTGGCTCGCAGGGGTTCGCGGGGGGTTGAACGGCGCGTCCGACGCGTTCGCGGGGTACGTTCACGCTAGAGCTACCGGACGGGGTGGGATAGTTCGCTGGCAGAGTAGAGGAAGTAGAGGTTACGGGGATTTCGGGGGGAACCGAGGGTAGATCGCGCAGGAAGAACGTTGGCGAATGCTTTGGAAGAACGGGGTGGAAAGCTCTTCCGTCTTGCAGAGAATAAGAGATCTATTGTCCCAAGGGAATCGCTGAGTCGATTGTTTTGGGAGAACAGAGACGCAATGTTCCTTCTCGCAAGGAGAACGAGTTGCGGCTCCATTCTTCCAAGAGAATCGTCGTTCCATCGAACTTTGCCGCTCGACGTACGCCTTCGGTTTCTCGGAGACGTTCGACTCGCCACGATTCCCGGTAGTTCTATCGTTGACGGACGATACTGACGGAGGTAGGACGATCGGTGTGGAAGTGAAGGCATCGGAGAACGTCGGCGGACCCCGGTCGAGGGTCGACGAGGTCGAAAGAGGAAGCGGGACCCCAGAGGAACGGAGGTTGCGAAATGAAACAATAAAAACAAAAAAAAACAGAAAAGAACACGCGTTCGAAACGGGGTAACATTTACAGAAGCAGGACTACTTCCCTTGGGACAAGGTGCCGTTCGTTCCGCGGCCGTCCCTGGTGCCGGACCCGTTCACCGTTTGGGGTCGCAAGAAGATGGACCCGCAGAAAGAGTTCTATCAGTACGTCACGTTGAAGGACAAAGAGGGCGTGGTGCGCGGCAAGAACGCCGCGAAAGAGGGGCACAAGCGTCAGCTGGTGAAAGGCGGCGCCGTGTCGAAGGTCAGCTTGGACGCGGCGACCGAGCTGGCGACCAAGGGTCACGTTTTCGAGAAGGGAGTGCTGTCCAGGCAGCCCGGCGCCGAGAGACACGCCGTCACGCCGGCCATCGGCCGCACCAGGATACTGATGGCCCTCCACACGCCTTCCTGGTACAAGTTTTAACGACGGAACCAACGGACGGGTCAAACGCGACCGACCCCCGACGTCCTCTATCACGATTACCGATAAGACACGGACGATTCTCGGAGAAACTAGCCCTTCGAGGACGAGTACCGTCGGCCGCACCAGGTTCACGTATGACCGGATTAGTTGTTGGGATATTATCCGATTCACCCACGAACACTTTAACCCCCTGCACCTATGGTTTGATAATCCGCGCTAGGATAACTCTGTCGCGGATAGTTTAGCACAGAAACATTCCGAATTCGCCTGTACCCACCTTCGCTTCGGAACGTTCATAACAGGAAAATAGTA